CATTAGGAAACATTTCAGGGGGAAAATCCCCGAGATTTGCTCTGCTCTGGGGGGATTTCACTAAATCGTGTGCTTATTCTGGTGATACTTAGGAAAAGTAAAGCGGTTTTAATAGCTTTCCCTCTGACACATTGATGCTGGAATATGCTCCGGCTCTGCGGCAGATAGCGTCAATCCTGAGAGGAGGACTTTTCATAAGGCCCCATCTGAACTAAATGAATACACTTCCTCCAACATGTGAGGATAAACCTGAGGGGCCACATTACTGCGGCGGCCCCTATCAGCCAGCTTGTAATACGACCGAGTCAGCAGTCAATGAGATACATTTGCAACCAGGCATCTGTCAGGGACTCAGCGCACAGAGCAGGAGATTTAAAATGTCCTGCGGTAAATTAAGTCCTGCTTGAGAAGTGAAAGGTGCCAGCTAAGCAGGCGGCTGCTTACTTTAAATGACAGACTGGTTAAGGGGGTGATGACGATGGGGTGATGGGGGGGAGGAAACTGAGCCAGGGGTGAGAGGGTTTTTTCTCATTACAGTTCCAATGCATTGAAAAAAAAATGATTGCGTGAAGAGACTTACTTATTTTCTTAGATTTTACATGATTTAAGTTCATGATCATGTTGTTTATACACATTTCAGCAGACAACAAAACTGAATTATACACACTATTTACGGTAGAATATTTATAATTTTCGCATAAAAATCCCAAAAAACACTAAACCTGTGTTATATATGTTGTTGATTTGTGTGCTTATATTATACTAAAACATTTTTTTTTTTTCAAATGTCATTTGATTCAAGGTTATGGTGTGTTTCATTTAGTCACCTGTAATGGCATCATATCCCCTTTGAACATGTGTCAGCTTTGTGCTTTTCCGCCATAAGCTCTCAAAGATGTACTTTTATATGGTTTTGGGCCACATCTTACTACACACTTTACACCTTTTCTGTTTCTTAAGGTTCAACTTCTAACTATAGATGAAGGATTGAAGTCATTAGACGTCTGGATCTTAAAGTTTTCAGTTAAAAAAAGCGGAACAAATATTCATGGCAGCAGAAAAGCATTAGAGAAATACAGATTTTTCACTAGAAATTGTTTTTATTCAGTGTTTCCACCAGTTTTAATCACCTGTTCCGTTTATTATGGAGAGAAGAAAACATATAATACAAACAAGTGCTTGACAGGTATGATAATCTATCACAGCTCTTCTTTTTTGGGTGATATCATAGCAAATAGTGAAGGGAACAGGCTATACTTGTGCCTTTTTATAAGATCTTTTGAAGTCTTTTACGGATGCAACTAGCCAAAAGCCAGTCTATTTAACTCACATAAAGGACAGGTACTCATACATTTGACTCTTACATGATCTTATTATTTAACCATAAGCAACAGTCCCTTACATACACAGGCGTTGATATCCTCGTACAGAATGTAGAACTTTTTAAATAAACTGTAATAGCACAAAAACATCTAAGTCTAACAAAATATATGAATAAAATAAAAGCAGATTGTGTTGTCTATTTACAATCATGTTATCAGTTTGTGACAGTTTATTGCGGTTGTTTTTATAATGTAGCTCAACAAATAACAGAATACATGTGGTTCAGAGAATGTGTGTACCTAAAGGCTTGAAAAGACGTTACGGTATGGTCCTTTACAGATTACATTATCCACTTTAAAAAAAAAAGGGAAATATCAGCAACTTGTATTCTTATTAATAGGAGAAGAGAAAGCCTATAAGCCATATAAACAGGGTGATGGGTACAGAAAGGAGGAACTTAAAACATATGGAAACTCACTTCATAGTGTGAAGCCACTCTGCAAATGACAGAGCATGTCGTCACTAAGAGGCTTAAGGAAATAATGGAAATAGTGTAGCTCATGTGGCGATGATATGCTTGCTGTAAGAGAAAGGGGAAAAGTGGTATTTACCGAGATATCAGCTGGACTCATGTTAAGCAAAGCAGTGGCTGTCCTGAGCCAGACTGGGGGGGGGGGGACTTCTGTCACAACAGCAAGCTCAGATAAACCCCATGGGTGAAGACAGAAAGGCATTAAGTGAGCATATTCACAGTCTAATGCACAGAATAAGTAAAGACATGTGATGCCGACCGAGAAAATAAGACTGTGTAACTTACACATTATATATCTATCTATTTTATGTCAACATCCACTAGAGACCAGTATAACAATTATCTAAAGATGGTGCCCAATTAGGTAGTCACTTCCGTTTGTCTATTTCTGCAACAATACAAGCGTAAACGAACGAGAAGATTGAAAGCAATTAGAGCACACTATGTTATACTGTGGTATAAACAATGTCATTTATTATAGCAAAACTTGGGCTCGTCCGGGATTTGAACCCGGGACCTCTCGCACCCAAAGCGAGAATCATACCCCTAGACCAACGAGCCACACTCGTGAAAGAAAGAGGCACAGTTTCTATAGACTGGCAATATGTCTTCATTGATTCCTATTTTTTTATACAATTATACTGGATATTAAACATCACTCAGGGCCGTTTCTCCATCGAGTGGCGCCGAATGCTGGGCATTTAAACAGCATTTAAACAGTCCTTCGGCGCCACTCGATGACGTAGTATACTTGAAATAGTGACTCTGCAGGAGCTCTACTCGACATTGAGAAACGGCCAGAAAGAACACGGCTAACGCTAGTAAACTGAAGTAAACAGTTACAGCTAGCTAGCAAGCTAACCTAGCTTCTTACCTGTGCTTAACCCCGAGAGCCCTGTATGAGCAAACTAACTAGCTAACGTGAACACTGCATGAAACAAAAAAAGTTCAAGACAGCTCAAATTAGGCTAAAATGGAATGTATCCCATTGTAAAATACCGACTGTTTATTTCAAATCAAGTAAAGAGACCTTTCTTTGTTATCAATGTACCACACCACACCACATCACTTTAACACACCTTACCATTAAGGAGTTCCATTTGAATGTAGCATCAAAGGGTGGAACAAATAACAGGATAGGAAGTGGAAAAAGGTAAAGTTAGCTAATGCAAACTGTTCTGAGTTTCATTATCAATTATTCTTGTCAAACGTTGCATTTTCTTGCCTCTTATAGGCAATTCAGCAATTGATTTTCTATTTTTATTTAGCACCATAATTATAACACAAAAGTGAAAATCATTACTATTACTACTTAATATTGCTCTGCTCAGTCAAGAGTGCACCCTAACGCAAAATGCAACTACTAATGCAAATTCAAATGTAGTCTGACAAATCTATGAAAGCACACCTAAGCAACATTGTATGCTGGTATAATCTATTGAAGGCATCACTAAAAGAAAATCCAAAGAAAACATTTAATGCTACAACAATATGTTTTATTTATTGTAGGCCCTATTTTAACATGCCAATGACATTAGGGTTGTTCTTTTTTTGGAACTCATTGTTATTTATGCTGGTGAACCTTTCATCATTATGAGTGGAGTGATATAACTGGGTATAACTGAATATATAATTTGCTTTTATTTAAAGAATGCAATGTTAATTATCTAACTTCTATCCGTAATTGCAAGTTCAATAAACACTATTTTGCCTTAAAGATGAGTATTATGTTTTAAGACAGAATCAGGCTACTCATTTAAATTGACCAAGAAAGACAAATGGTAGCACATTAACGCAGAAATGTATGTGTTTATTTACAGCAGTACTTTTGACTTCTTATAGAAAAAGTACAGGTGCCAATAATTACATTAACGGTGGCTCTGTTGTATTCAAGTGCAAATGAAAGTGACAGTGAGGAAGCATGACCAATAAGAGGAGTCTGAAACTGAAGCAGCAGAATTCTGGAAATTACATTTTGATGATTTGTCTGCTGGGAAAATCTATTTGTCATCCTGCCAACAATGTACTATGCATGTAGTCTGTCTTAATAGTTGTTATTGTTTGCATTCTACAGCTGACTCAGTTGTGATATTTTACTGGGATCTCCACCAAATATATATTATTCCACAGGGGTTTCATTCTGATTGTTCTGTAAGGTTGATAGATACAGATACTACATCTGCTATTGTACTTCTTAAATATATATGTTCAAATATATAACACAGTATTCATGTGTTAATAAGCCCAATTTATTAAATAAATTCAGTCAATTAAAGTTAAAAACATTTTCGAACAAATCTTAGTTGATAAGAAAAAAGCCCAATAATACATTTAAATAACAACCTTGAAATATACCCTTCATATTTCCTCTTATTATAAGCAATCTGAGGCTCCTGTTTTAAGGGATGAGCTGCCAACACAATAAATGAAACCCTACGAAGAGCTGTGTTTTTTTCATCAATATCAACCATAATTAGCTACATTTGATTGATCTTTCTAACTTGTTATAACATATGAGAAAAAATACCTCTAGTGAGCGGCCCAGCCCTTCGTATGTTTTTTGTATGTGGCCCTCGGTGAAAAAAGTTTGGACACCCCTGCTCTAGACTGAATAGATACTGCGTAAGAAATAAAATCTTTACACGAACATTACAAAAATGTTAGCGAAAAGAAGCATAAATAACTAGAAGATATGGATCATTATTTAAGTAAAACCAAAAAGCGATTTATCGATTCCAATTTGGGATATCTGTATCTAATACACAATCAAATATACAAAACTGAAGTAAGTGTTCAGTTGAGTTTCATTTTAGAGCACGTTATTCGATGGGTGGGGTCTTTGATATTTTGCATTATGAATACAAAAAAGGCCTACATTAGTAAAACATTAATCCTTTAGTCACTTTAGTGTACTTTAATAAGATACTTAAAAAAAAAAATTTCTGCTTAACCATTCATGAATAGTTTTAAGAAGTTTAGCAACATGAAACAAATATAGATGCTGCTGTGTGAATGTTTGAATATAATATTTGTAAGTTTACGCTATCTTTTGATACAACTAATAGTGCATTTCCATATCTTTATGTGTAGTGTTGGCCCCACGGCTGGCCCTGCTGCTCGCGCCCAGTGCATTGTGGTCTATGTGCTAAAGGAAGCTGCAGCACCGGAATCTGAAGAATTCGAGGTGTCCGCCAAGTCTGCTGTTCACCGTCGGCTAGCCTCTCTGTTCCCCTATCTGTACTAAACTCTCTGCGGACACACTGTAAGGTAACACTTGCTTATTCCTCCAACTCATGACTTATTTATCACTAAATTGTCTCAGGGCTGTGTTAATGGCGGTATCGCAGTTAAACCGACGACGCTAACATTAGCTTTTCACATCCTGCAGGAGAAGCTAGCTGCTCTGCTAACGTCAGTTAGTACTTAACGCTACAGCTTGTCTTGTACCACTTTGCTAAACAGCTAACAAGCCCTGTTAGCATGGTAAATGGCTGTGGTTTGAGTTACAAGAATAAGAAGTAACAATGAAATACGGTGTTTCAAAGAAGAATTCGGCAACAGCACATTCACACCCACCCGGTTGTTTCCGTTATGATAACGCTCGCTAAATAAACATATCCCCATTCTAATAACGGTAACGTTTACGTCAGCTAACTTTTTACGTGACGTTAAGAAAATTAACTAGCAGCTTGTAACGCAAATTTTCAAAGCTGTTTTTAAATTAGCTCAAACTACCTTGCACTATAGGCTTGTGCACTTGCATACATAGCAGTAGTTTCAGTCTGAGTGCTGTGGGTGTGTTTCTCACTGTTTCACTTCATTTAGAGTGTTTGAATATAACACACCGATTTAACTACATACAGCAACTAACACCCAGGTAGTAAACACAGGATACGAGTTGGGGTTAATAGCATCAATATGGCTTAATCTGTAATCCTCAGATCATAGCTTCGTAGTGGGAGCAGATGTAATGCAGCTATCTAAGCAGGAAAAGCATTTTTTTTTGTGGTGAGAGACAGCACTCGAACAAACCTTACTGAGAACAAACCAGACTTCCTGTCTCTCACACAGTCAGGCTTGTAAGTATGCGCCTATATGAATGCCTCCATTTCAGAAAAGATCGTTTTTAGAGGAAGGATTTGTAGAAAATTAAGTATGTTTAACATTATGTGATGCATTCTGTCTTTTTCCTTCAGGTCTAACAAGAAGAAAACATGTCTCAGGCCGACAAATTGAAGGTGAGTCTCCGAACACAGACCATCTTGACCAAAACAGTATGCAGTAATACCAGATTGCTACTTCTTTTAGACTAATCACAGAGTTAATCTTACGTGGTATTGTTTTCTGAATATGTAGATAAAGTCTTCTGTCTTTTTAAATCATCCAGAACTTTAGTTCATACACCGTTGAATTTTGGGTCACTTAGACATATGCTTAGTGTGCTGCTCAGCATGACTCATTGTCGCTTTATGTGGGTGGAAAGGCCCCAAGGCAGACTCAAAACACACCTCTTCTTAGGCTCATCAGTCAAGACCTTTGCTGAAAGGATGAGGAAAAGATACTTCATAAATCCTACAAGACTGTGAGGCTAAAATAAGTAGAAACATGTACGTTTTCATGTTGGATGGTCCTATTGACCTGCCTCTCATTGGTCTGAATAGTTCTGTGTATGACAGGTCTGTAAACTGTGGAATGATGGGTGGAAATAGACTAGCTATTAGCCCTCCTAAATATTCTGGCTGTTTGTGAACAGCTGTTTCCTCACTGGTGTCTACTAGCACTAATAACTAGCTATAATGTTTTGGAAATATCTATAGCCAAACCATGTTTAACCTAAACCTTGTTTTGATTTTAGACAACAAAGTGTGTCCAGAAGTAAAAACATGTTTGTATTTGATGACTTTACTTTGCTTTTGATTTACAGCAGGGCCAGTTCAACAACCCTGAGACCCCAGGGTACGTTGGATTTGCCAACCTGCCAAATCAGGTTCATCGCAAGTCAGTCAAAAAAGGATTTGAGTTTACGTTGATGGTGGTAGGTGAGTGAATCATCAAGCCTTTTCTCGTTTTGTCCTTTTCTTCTTGTCATCATGCAATACTGAATGTATGTAGTCTGAAATATGATCGTGTACTCAGTGATAACACGGTTTATGCTATCCCGCTAGAGTCAACATGCATATTTGAGGAATGTGTTCAGGCTTTAAGGCTCATGTGAATTGGTTTCTGTGACACATTTATGATGGGAATTTTGCCACTAGCCCACATTATACAGCTGTAATATGCTGTCCTTTCTACACTTCAGTTCAAAACTCCTTCACCTCTATTGTTCATTTGAGTTAATAAGCTGATAGCAGAACAATGATTTCAGTAAAGCATAGGTTTATTTCTGTGTGAATGAAGTCTGTAGAATATGCAGATGACACATATGTGTATCTGCTCAGCTGGCGTTAGTGTAAACTCTTGATGTGAACACTGTGACTGTGTGAACCTCTCTGCTTGTTGGTAAGGGGGAGGGTAGAAGCTCCCCTGAATGCTGCTCATCCTTTTGCTTTAAAATAAACCAGAGAGGAATGTAGCCAGTGAGCCTCGAGGGATTCATTGACACAGTGGACAAGGCCTGCTGTTCCCTCTGCTGCAAGAATACTCATTATGTGCTTATTTAACCTTCTGTGTGACTTGGCTTCTTCCATACATCTGTCATTTCCTGTTTCCTAGATAGCTGCAGTTCTTCACTACAGATAAAACAATATACTTTGAAACCTTATCATTTCACGTTACTTGAGGTTTTTCCCATAAAGAACCTTTACCACATGTAAATGAAACTGTATATAATGTAAATGTTCATATATACACTCAGGTTATTCTGGCAAATTCCCAGTTAAGGACTTAGCAGAGACTTGTGTGAACCTTTTGTCTCTGCTCTGGTGGGAACCGCAGTAGCTGCATTCCTGGGCAAAATCACATGAGCGTTAGGATGTTAAAGTTTCAGCATGTGGAACTCTGTGACCATTAGACACATGTTCGTAGTGTCTGACCGTCATAGTTTGTTCAATGTTGTTCACTGCTGTTGTTTGAACTAAACGGCTGTTGAAGTTTCATGGATTTTCCAGTCAGATTTAGGCAAAAATCTCGGCTAAAACACAGCTCAGGGGATCTGACAATGTTTTTAGTGGAAAGATATTTTTAGTCTGGTATAAGGCTCAATCCTTTTCTTGGAATCAGGCCATCGGCTATTATTTAAATAACTGGCAAAGATTTATACTTCGGTGTCAGATAGCATCATAATGTATTTCCGGATGGAGCCGGTCGTACCGTGTGTCACAGACAGATGTTTTTGTTTCCTGCAGAAGTGAGGATGATCTTTGTTCTATTCATTCAAACCCAACTCTGAGAGAGGAGGTTTGCGACAGCCTTGATGGGCTTTTTTCCATTTTCAGCAGTTGTGTTTTATTGATGTACTTTGCTGCATGGTGACTGTTTCATTTTCCTTTGTCAAAAGGTGAATCTGGACTTGGAAAATCCACCCTGATCAACAGCCTGTTCCTCACTGACCTTTACCCCGAGAGAATCATCCCTGGAGCTGCAGGTAAAACACACATACTCACACTTCAACACACACACACTCTCACTCTTACTGAAGCTTGTTAAAAGGGTAGACGCTACAGGTGAAAAGGTTTCAAATTCTGGGGCAAGGATATCACCATAAAACGTACCCATTTGATAACTTACAATTAGACAAGTGTTTTCTATGTTCGTAAGTTCAAATATGCAAATGAGATGACCTAATGCTAACTTTTGGTGAATCTAAGAGAAATCTCAAATGTATAAGAATAAAAAAAAAAAAAAAGTAATATAAGCAATGTAAACACTTTATATTATAATATATACTATAACATCTGAAATGTATATTTTGGATGCAAAATAGCTCAAACTCTTAAAATGGTCATCTGCTTAACAAACCAAATGTTTTGCCTGTGGTGTCTTACCGTACATCGTATGTTGACGTGGACTGACTGTGACTTTCCATGTTGTCATGAGTTCTCTCACTTTCTTTTGTTCTAACAGAGAAGATAGAGAGGACGGTTCAGATCGAGGCGTCGACGGTAGAAATTGAGGAGCGAGGAGTGAAGCTCCGCCTCACCGTGGTCGACACTCCGGGATACGGAGACGCCATCAACAGCCAAGACTGGTATGTTTTGTTTTTAGGGTGTATGATGATGATGATGAGATAAAGGGGTTTACATTTGAAATTACCCAGTGTCAAAATTGTTATCTTTATCAGTGATGAGCCACTAAACTGAGGCAGTGAAAAATAAATGTTTCAAGTCCTAAAGAGAACGTATTCATGTAGACTTTTCATAGACCCAACATGCATCGTCCATTACTTGGTCAGAGCCTTTTTTCTTTTTTCTCTAACATAAATATGAATACCTTTTTCTTCTGGGGAAATAAAACCTAAATGTATGGTTTTTAAATCTAATGAAGTATGTGTGTGTTAAAGATGGACTCCTTGTCTTTAAAAACTTCTTTCTGATAAATTCAGGAGATAATTATTTTTTAAATATCTGATGTATATGCATTTATAAAGAGTTGGATAAAGGGTTTACTTTTTTCTTTTGCATTAAATGTTTTCAGAAATGTGTCTTAATAGTTTGTCTTCTGTAATGAAATTGTATTTATTTCTCTTACCCAGTTTCAGCACCATCATCAGCTACATTGATGACCAGTTTGAGCGCTACCTCCATGACGAGAGCGGTCTAAATCGTAGACACATTGTTGACAATAGAGTTCACTGCTGCTTCTACTTCATCTCCCCGCTGGGCCACGGGTGAGTCCTGCTCTACATGCTCACACCGACAGGGCTTTCACTTAGTAAACATTTTACAAATACTTATTTTTGGTCTGTTTCCTGCCCACAGCCTGAAGCCCCTGGATGTCCAGTTTATGAAGGCCATTCACAATAAGGTCAACGTGGTTCCTGTCATCGCCAAGGCGGACACGCTCACCCTCAGAGAGAGGGAGAGGCTCAAGCGCCGGGTGAGGACAGCACAGTCACCTATTGTTCAACTTCACTTCCAGTTCCTGAAATAACCAGCAGCTATCATGTGCTCATGGTCACCACTGTTACCGTCCACTGTATGAAAATACTTTTTGTACCTAAAGTACTAAACTAAAACGACAGGAAGTGTCAAAAGTGATTTTGATTCAAAGAAATGTTTCTAAAATGTAATATTGCCAGGCCATTTTTTGTGGATGTCCAATTAGTGTTGATGGTTAATGTAGTCAATTCTCTGTGAGCCCTGTTTTTTTAAACTGAGTTCTCTTTCTCACGGAGCTCAATTAGCAGTTCCCTAACAGGCAATGCAACCCAATAGCTTACAATGGTGTTACGGGATGACTCTCTCGACAGTCATCCTTCCTCTTGAGCTGGCTAGTCTTGGTTGTCATTCCAAGTTTATCTCGTGGACACCGGAAAAGCTCCCCAGCAATCCTCTGTCCAAGTGATTCAATCTTATGCACGCAAAAGAACTGCCCACAGTTGACACCTATTGCAGCGGATTGATTCTGTTTCTGAATCGGAATTCCTTTATTTGTCCCGCAACGAGGACATTTAAGGTATTACAACAGCAGAAGTATTAGTGCATATCAAGTGAAAAGAATAGACCTGCATTTTAAATTAAAAAGTAGGTACACGTTATTAATAATAAAAACACAATAAGTAAAAACAGATAACAGTTGAGTACACCATGGTAAAAAACAAGAAGCACTACATATATTTAGTTTAAAAGTGACCTTATAAAATGATAGAAGTAGCTCGTATTGTTTACAGATTTTAGATAAATTGAAAGAAAAATAAAGCGTAAATTGCACAAGGGTATATTGCACCAAGTTTTATATTCACAGGATTATATTTTCTGTTGATAAGAGAGAGCATCTGGGTAAAGGTCCAGTTCGACCTGGTGAGTCGATGCTCTTCTAATATCCTCCTCCATAACGTCCTCTGCACCTGTATGTAATGTACAAGCAAGGACAACAGAGTTTTGTTTTTAGATCTTTTTTGCTTCTAACCTAGAACCGGTTTAGGAAATTCCGTTTTGAAGTGGAATCTAGCGCATCCCCTGGCTACCCAGAGGCGGAGACTACAAACTGAAGTAGATTGTACTTTGTCACCGTCACATCAAGTGTCGCTGGATGCAGAAAGTGCAATAGCAGAACATTTTCTCTGTCAATATAGCAGGCACTGAGGAATTCAATTGCTTCAATGAACCACATTTACCTTTAACACTGTTTACTGACATTCACAGGATACTATTAGTTTGAATTTACAGTAAACAAAGTAATATAGGCTGATTTATAACGTGTTTTCTACTGTCTTCTTGGTAAGGTTCTGGATGAGATCGATGAGCACGGCATCAAGATCTACCACCTTCCTGATGCTGAGTCTGATGAGGATGAAGATTTCAAAGAGCAGACCAGGATCCTGAAGGTAAACTCTCCACTTCCTGCTCAACTTATCAGCCCTTATTTATTGTTTCGTTATCATGCCGATTAAATGTTAAGTTAGGTTAGGTCCGTTAAAGTGTTCCATTTGCTCTGTGTTTGAAATGTCATGAACTACTCCTCTTTTCCAGGCCAGCATCCCTTTCGCAGTTGTGGGATCCAACCAGCAGATTGAGGCCAAAGGGAAGAAGGTGAGGGGCCGCCTGTACCCCTGGGGGGTGGTGGAGGTGGAGAACCCAGAGCACAACGACTTCCTCAAGCTGCGGATCATGTTGATGTGAGTTGCAGATTTGTACATTTGAGTAATAAGAAGCAATGAAAATGAGAGTTCCTGACCTGCCTAACTGTGTGCTACAAATGTTGCAAGTGTTGCTATCTTGGAGAAGTGGGTAGTTTGGCAGGTTGAAACAAAAATGAAACATCCATTTTGGTAACTTATCTGCAGCCTTCCCTTTTGCTATCTGCGTCCTTCTAAGGAATGAGCCTAGGAGTACACAAGGTCCTTCTGAACACGCACACACGGTGTCTACTAGGGCTGTACCCGAATATCAGAATATTCGTTCGTTGGAGTACTATTCGGGTTTCAATTTCGTTATTCGGATATTCGTTTTGTTTGTTTTTTCGTTTTTTTCCCGTTTTTTTTTCAAATTGAATTTATTGAAATCTCCAATATCAACGTAAGAGCTTGTGCCTCTTCGGGGGGTGCTAACACTTAACCATAAACGTTATCGTTTACTTTCTCCGTCTTTATATGTAGATATTACTTTTCAACAACTTCCTGTCAACTGCGCTAACTCCTTCAAAATAAAAGCATGTCCATAAATAGGAAGCCAAGCCAAATTACACTTAAGACGTATACAACTGCAACGAAAGTACCAAACACAATGCAATATCCTTTTCAATTTCAAAGAACACAAATTGGGTTACATTAACAAATAAATATAAAACAACAATACTGTAGAATAACAAAATGAATGCCGTGAATACTCCGAAATACACGTGTTGAAGCGGTTCGCTGCTGATTACTACACCCCCCCCCTCCCCCCCAGCGTGGGCCGAATATTCGAATATTCGCTGCTGATTACTACCGAATATCCGGAGCCCGAAAAATGGTATTCGGGACAGCCCTAGTGTCTACTTCATTAAGCTTCAAAGTTTTGTCCATATAACGTCGGGGCAGAGAAGAAAAGTAGTATTGTTCCCAATACAACAATCGCCCCAAACCTTAGATTTTCTTATCTTACAATGAACCCTTCATATCTACCTAGGGAGCGGGTCCTTTTCCACGTTGTCTGCTATGTTGCACCACCATTTTTTTTTAAGTAGCTCAGAAGGGACAAGCAAATACCACAGTCTTGCAAAGGGAAGCCTGGGCGAGGGTTTATTAGCCGTTGCAATCCTCAACAGCAAAGCCAGATTGCGCACAAAATACAAAGTCATTATTGGTTGGTGACCTTTTTTCTCCCACAGAACCCACATGCAGGACCTACAGGAAGTGACCCAGGACCTCCACTACGAGAACTTCCGCTCGGACCGCCTCAAACGGGGTGGCAGGTTGTCCTCCCATGGTTACATTCTGCCTCTGTCTCCTGCGTACGTACCTGTCTGTCCGCTTGCTTCACTGCACCTCCCCCACCTCAAACAGCAAAACCTTACAGTAGACGTATATCATTATTCCAGTAGTGTTTTAAACAAACGACACAGAAACGACGCCACAGATGTTACAGTAATAAAACATCCAGGGTGGTGTACAAGGAAGCTAGAAACACTTGTGCTCGATGGAATCGCGTTATCGTTCTTTTGTCTATCGACAGTTCAATATTAAACTAGTATCGTTCTGTAGCTGTAACTCATCATTTTGCATGTTCATGACATCATTTAGGCCATGGTAGCGCAGCAGTGGCTTTAATGCTGTGTGCATAGCAGGTTTTAGAGGGTTCGCTCATAGCTAAATAGCATGTGTAGTTGAGTAGAGGTCGTAAACAGGAGTACTGTGTGTTCCATTTAACATAGTGCGGACATATCATTTAACCCCCCGATGTAGACCCAACATCTTTTAGCCTTTCTTCTAAAGCCTGGCCAGGATAAGGCATTCTTCACATTGCCTCGCCATCTGTCCAAAGATGGCGGTCTGCTGGAGGTATCGTTATATTTTTGTTTTCATCTGGGGGAGGAAACGCTGTCCCCCCGACTCCTCACACCTTCTCTCTTGAGTCTTCTTTCTTTCATCTCTTTGTAGTTATTTGTTGTAGCTGCCCACTCTTCACTTTGCAAGAACAACTAACCCACTGATCCCTTCTTCACCTTCTCAATGTGGCTTCTTGTCAAGTTTGCCTAATGCTACTTCAAATAGTTCAACGTGCACTTTCAGGAAAACACCGACTCACTCCACTGATGCTTCACTAAACTTAATGATTCTTTGCTTGATTGTTATACATTCTGCAGAAATATAAGAGGTTGTGTTATCAGTGTGTAGCATCACGGAAACATCCAAACTAACTAAAGCCGTGTTGATGCAGAAAGGGCCCGGAGCCAGAGGAAACGGACAAGGACATGATCCTGCAGGAGAAGGAGGCTGAGGTGAGACACTTCAGACATGACACCACCTTAGGCTTCTGAAAAATACATTATTTTATTTATTATTTGTCATAGATTTACCCTTAGCATTGGCCAGATTTCTTAAAGGAACAGTTTCACATTTTTGGATATACACTTTTTTTCACTTGAGACAAATATTAAAATTGGCATTTTGTTTTTATCCAGCAAAAGACATTACACAAAACGATACACCCCCCTAAAAGACACTGAGGTATTGAAGTATCGAAACAAGTTTCCAAACTGAAGCGATTTTTATGATGAGTCAACAGTAAACACAAATGGTAAAATACACTTTACAATAAATAAATAACCACAACCATGAGTTGTCCTTAAGCACACAATATGAGTCTAATGGTTCTAGTAGTATGTAAGATCAGCTGCTGACAGACAGATGCGTGCAGAGACACACGACTGAACAAATAATCCGCCTCCAACTCAAGAAAGCTATTTCTGTGAGCTTTACCTGAGCTGGATTTAAAAGAAAAAAGAAAACTTTGACATAGCCAGGCTAGCTGTTCCAGTCCATATGCTAAGCTAAGCTAACCCCCTGCAGGTAAACTTAGGTTACAGACATGAGTTTCTATTGTTTCATTCTTTTTTTCTGGATGAATTACACTTTGAAACCTAGGAACAATGAAACATGTCAAGTAATTGTTCCTGTTGTGTTAAGCTGACAAATGATTCACAGTTGGTTTCTGTTGAATTATTCATAGTGGGAGTTGTTACTAGTCAATGATTTCTAACTGGCATTAATAAGAAAACATTTAGTAAGACACCTCTGAATCTCAGCTGAGAGAATGTGCTGTGTTTGGAGTGCAGTTGTACAACATGTTGCTCTGTGTTGCACAGCTGAGACGAATGCAGGAGATGATCGCCAAGATGCAGCTGCAGATGCAGAAGCAGGGCGACGGAGAGGGAGACGGCCAACATGTGTGAAGAGTCAACGGTAGGACATCACCCCTGGCCCTGTTATGGCTTTTGGGCTTTTCCCTTTCCTGTAATGTGTTTGAAGCAAGTTGCTTTGTATGTAAATGGTCTGCAAAGGCTAATATTCCCAAAGATCTCTCGAGATAATAAATAATTTTGTTAAATTCAAATGGCTCAATTGTTCTTGTGAATGTTGTTTTAAATAGTGATAGAATGTTGGCTTTTTTTATTTAGCTAGCGCTCCAACACATTGTACGTGATAGGCTAGGGGGCGGGACATCTCTGCAGCACAAGCAGTATGAGAAAAAGAAAGAGCTTTTGAACACTAAAGCATGGAGACGTGTCAGAGTAGAGGAACTAAATACTAATACGATCCTGAACATGAGCAGAATGTGGCCTCTTTAACTTAAATACCTAGATTGTCAGCTTTTGTTTATGCTAACTTGTTCTTTTCCCCTGTAGGTGTTCGGGCCGCTGCTCCAGTTTGACTGAGGAGGGATGATAGCTGAGAACGTGTAAAGGCATCCTGGTTATTGCCTGCTTGCCACTATTTTTTATTCCAATCCTTTACAGGATCTGGAGTCATTTCTTTTTATACATACAGTAAAGTATATTCAAACAGTGTTATGTTTATATATTTCCACACGGTTCTATTTCTTTCTTTCTTTGCTTTTGCCAGTCACTCAAATGAAGTCATGTGACCCATCTTCTGAAAAGGTGGCATATATCTTTCATACAAACTGTTACTTTTTTTTGCTATTTAGAAAACCAAAGTACTGTTACTTGTTTTCTGGAACATCTCTGAAAACACGTGCTAACTCATTTGGGAGAGTGAACTATGGGACAACTGGTAGCTTTTTCCGCCATTGTTATGCCCTTTTTGTGATATTCTTTTTGTTGAGAGAAAACATGATTCTCTCTGTCTATAAATGACCACTTAAGTTTCCAATTCATAGAGTCCACCTCGCTCATTGTTAAAAAATTAGCCGAATCATGTGCATACAAGTCGACCAAGGTCAGATTTTCCAGTGAATTGTCCCTCCTCTCCTGTCAAAGTCTCCATTGGTGCAGTTCTCAGATCAGTGTATTTTAAATATGATGGCATTCAAGTGACAGTCTTCCTATAGACAAATGAAGGACTTTCAAATGAGGTGCGATGCCTCTGTTTGGTGCTCTCCATCAACTAGAAGTAATTCCTCCATGTTCCCTCTACAATGTCAAGTGCCAGGCCGCATTGTTTCGTTGATGCAGGGAGAGGTAGCAGTCCCTACTGCCGAGTACTCTGTGGTTCCCTGACCACAGAGATTGAAAAAACGACCCGATGAGGTCGGTGTAGCCATCGTTCCCCTCACCAGCCAAGATGTGAGTTCTCGACATTCCTCTGTGCTGTTTTTACCCAATTTTTAAAGCACCAAATATTGTTCTTGATGCATATATTGTAATAAGTTTAATAAACTTTATTAATCTCTTCTGTGATTTGAGGCTCTTTTTTTTTGTATTTATCTACCTGGTCTAGTATAACATGTTCCCACATTTACATCAGCCTCTGCTACTGTGTTTTATTTCAGTGAGATGAGTTGCCTCGGGGAGACAAAACCACCGTGAGATTGCCTTTACTAAGTGTCTGTAATTACAGTTTAGTGTGAACAAATGATCTGAAACAATCTTTTTGAGAAAGGAGGAAATGAAAAGGGAAAAAAACGAATCTGATTTTTTTAGACATTGTTTGCTGCGACAATTTACGGTCATTAACAAAAGTAATGTTAAATATAATTTGGTTTATTGAATTGATATGGTTTGATTTAAGTTATTAAATAATTTAAGAGATTACTGACGTCTGTGTTCTCTTTCACAAAATAATGCAGCTGTCCTTGCCATTATAAAACTGATAATATAAATTAGATTGTGTTTGTGTGTTTATTTAAACATAGTGATGTCATTATGTTACGGAAGTAAGTCCAATGGAGGCGATGTTTGTAATTGAGCATTAAGCAGAGCAAAACCAAGGAGACACTGAACAGGATGTGACATTTTCCATAGACTTTATTATAGTTTTTTCTTCTCAATCTAACAGGTATACACAACGCTCTAAATGTCATGGCTTTTTTGTTTTAAATACTCTCCGCTCTTAAAGAAAAAACTGTAAAAATATTTAATTATAACTAATTAAAAGATCTCTCGGGGGGGGACAGGACTGGGAAAGGTGCAAAGATACGAGGGGTTGGGGTCTTCTGTGGTCCTTATCAGAGGCGTAGGGGGGGTCTGGGAGACAGAAGAGGAAGGTGGTTGGGTTACATCCAGCTGGGCTTTCACCGCGAAGAAGGGGTGGTGTTACCATTTAAAGAAAACCTGGAAGAAGGACAGGAAGTGGATTAGTCACAGTACAATATCTCTGCTGCACAAAGCTCCTCCCACAGACCCACCTGCACACTCTCTCCATCATGTGTGTGACCAGGCGGTCGGAGATGCCTGGGCACGACTCCTCAGCCAGGTTGAAGGCGTTCTCCAGCTCCTCGATGGCTCCTACGCCCCCCCCACTCGCCCGCCGTTTCTCCTTCAACTAGTAGAAGAGGAACAATCAATTAGAAATAATCTTGTTTGATGTGCAATCAAACAAAATGACTGTCCAGGACTTCATTTAACAAGCAGGTATTGGTTAGGTTTTCTCAGCTGAGCTTCACGCTTTCATGCTCTTTCCTTTTTAATTCTCACAAATATATAAACTACTTGAACGAAAATATTCTTATTCGACTAACTTTGTTGTGTAATTATATTGCTTTTGCATTTTTAATAGTTTTAAATTCAATTATATAATCTGATTCTGATTTTCCAGACACGATTTAGTACTCTATATTAAAGCCTGCTCTTGCTGTTCTTCTCTCAAAGCACTACACTCCCCCTCCCCACAGCCTACCTCTCTGAAGATGGGTGTTACCAACGCAGACAAGCACTGCGACTTGGGTTGCCTTTTCACTGAGTCTCCTGACTGTTGAGCGGAGAAAGAGTGTCAGAAAAAAACACAAAAGATTGGACTCTGTGTGTGTCAGTTTGCTGTGTGTGTGTCTTACCTCTGAATCTGTGTGTGTGTAGCCTTTCTGTAATTTGCTCAGAGTGGTGGGTCGGACTGTGGGGAAGGTCCACATGGGACACGTGTCCACATCACCATCAGCATCCCTGAAGGAAGGACAGAAAGACAAAAAATAGGTATTTAATATGAGGGACACAAACATGTATGGAATTCATTCAGTATGTCCACCAGGAGATTGTGTGTGTGGTCTAGCATTACTATACTTGTGGGGACCTAAATCTGTTTTCACGTGTGGACAGGGCCACCTTAATACACGGGCTGACCTGGGCTGAAGCCCAGGGGCCTACGGAGATCGGGGGCCTATCATGAGCCAATAAAAAAAAATAAAAAAGATTCAAATTATTTTTTTTTTTATTTCGGGAGTTTTTAAAAAAATGTTTAAATAAACAAAGTCTTGGCTTTCAGAATATGAAACTTTTATTTCCAAAATCACACGATAAATACATTTTTGAAGCTTGTAAAGGGAAGATGACAGCTCTCCCTCGCCACTCTGCTGTTCCGCAGCGCTGCTCCCCCTCCCTCCGGCTGACATTATGAATGGAAGGCGTATAGTAATCATAGATAACACGGCAGGGTCCGTTACAGTTTGTTTTCATCTGATTTCAATTAAACAAAGTCTTGGCTTTCAGAATATTAAACTTGTTTCGGGAAATTCAGATGATAAATACAACTTTGAAGCTTGTAACGGCATAATTACAAGCGGAGAACGGAGTAACTTTACGTCACAGCAGGCATAACAACAGCCGGTGTTTCTCGTGAGTGTTTTCCCCGGGAAACAAACACAATACACACAAACGCAAAAATACACAAACACACACACGTATACACACACACACACTCGTGAGCTTCCCCCAGACCAGGAATCCAAACGAAAATATCTTCCCTCCGGACTATTTTGATCATTTGCTCCGCTAATCAATCAGATCGATGGATTCCAGAGATTTTTCTCAAAAATGATGACTCCGTAACAGTCAGTGGGCACCACTTAACAGCCAATCAGAATGAGAATATGTTTAACATGTGACTTATTCAAATTGCGAGTGATTGAGTGACAGATGAAGGTTGTTTAGGAGAAAATGTCAGAGAAGAAAAAGTTTGAGAGTGGCGCTCGGAAAAGGAAATTGTTGAGGGAAAAGGAGTTTCGAGACAAGCAGCCATTACAAAAAATGCCGAAGCTTCCAGGTTATTTTAAACCTGTAGGCCAGGATGAGGAGGAAGGACAGATTAGTTCTGTACTGAGCGGCAGCGGTGCCGGCCGCGGGGCCTCGGAGCCAAGTAGGCCGTCTGGTTCTGATAGCGATGGAGTAGCGGGAGAGGAAAAACAGACAGGAGGGACATTATCTGTTGGAGGAGATGGAGAGGACGACGAGGACTTGCTACGTGGAAGGGAGCCAACGGCAACCGGACAAATACATGAGGGAGGCCCGATACGTCACTCATCTGGAGGAGAGGACCAGGCGCGCGTAGAGCAGAGTGGAGAAGTGCGATCACAGAGCCTGCCGAGGCTATAAATGACTTTGATTTGTTGTTTAAATAGGGGGCCTACAAAACCTATCAGCCCCAGGGCCTGATGGCAGGTTAAGGCGGGCTTGCGTGTGGGGACTCGCCTCCCTCATGGGGACAAAATGGAGGTCCCCATGAGGGGAATCATTAATTTTATGGTGAAGACTTGGTTAGGTTTAGGTTAAGGGTAAGGGTTAGGGTTAAGCATGTGTTGGTTAAGGTTAGGATAAGTCTCTAGGAAATGCATGTAAGTCAATGTAATGTCCCCTGAAGTGATGTATACATGGTATGTGTGTGTGTGTGTGTGTGTGTGTGTGTGTGTGTGTGTGTGTGTGTGTGTGTGTGTGTGTGTGTGTGTGTGTGTGTGTCTGTGTGTGTCTGTGTGTGTCTGCGTCTGTGTGTGTCTGCGTCTGTGTGTGTCTGCGTCTGTGTGTGTCTGCGTCTGCGTCTGTTTATGCCTGCGTCTGTTTATGCCTGATCTCACAAACTACTGGATCCATTAGCATCATATCTTTGTGCTCATTTATGACTGTATGCTTAAGAACAAGCTTCAGTTTTAGACACGGTGTTTGGGTACCAGCTAGTGGAACTACGGTCAAAGCAGGAATAAGGGTTTCTGTTCAGAGGAAGCCAAGCGCTAAGGCCCCTTTCCCACTAAAGCAGTTCCAGGGCCGGTTCGGAGCTAGTGCCCGATTAAGCACCGGCTCTTCCCGTTTCCACCGCAGCAGGGCCGGATCTTGGCCCAGAGCACCGGTTCTTATCTGGCTCTACTCGACTGCCCGTCCAGAAAACCAAGAACCAAATATGTCACACTTACGTCGGAGGCGGGTGCAGGGGGGCTGAGCAAAGTGACTTATATAAAGTGAGGCAACACTAACCAGGCATAGTGTGATGCTGAACCACACTAATAAACAATGAATCCCTGCACTCTGGGGAAGAGTATAACGTTGGAGAAGTAGTTATTTAATTTAATCTGGCTTCGTATGATTAAAAGCAACACGATCATCAACCCGACGCAGTACCACATTGTTGTGGTTGTGACCGGCACCATGATTTTTCAGGTCATTTCTTTTTGCTACCTTCAAAGACAAAGGCAAAGAGAGAGTGCATAGGCTTTTCAAAACTGAGTCTTTAGACTAATAAAAGCTATTGGACTTTGAGAGAAATATTTAAATCTAAAGACGTGTTTGTGTAAACGTGTTCTACTCTCAGCCACTCCAAATAACTGTCTATTCCAGAAACTGAGGATAAATAATGGGTGATTTTCCAGAAAAAAGAATAGAAAACCAAGCAGTATCCGTAATGAACATGTATGTAATGTTCCTATTAGCAGGAACAAGTGGAAGCCCCTTCGCTTAGTCTGATGCAAACTACAATAGGCAACACATACATGTGCATTGCTGATAGTACTTGGTTGGTATCTTTGTTTCTAGAAAATCACTTATTTATCCTCAAATTCTAATGAGTTGTTAAGGTGGCTGTGAGTAGATCCTTTGGAACATGTTATGAATGTGTTTTGCAGACTCACATATCCGAGTCGTCGGAGCTGGACTCCTCCCCGTGGCCCTCAGACTTCCAGCGGCGGTAGCGGTCGATGAGCTCCGTCAGGTAGGCCGTCTTCTTGGTGTAGCGCGTGATGAACTTGTGCTTTACGAGCTCTTTGGCTGTCGGCCTCTGTACACGCACATCATACACATAGGCAGAAAAGAAGTTTCACATCAATGACTGTCTGTATAAGACTACACTTCAGTGTCTCAAAAGCTAAATGCTAAGAAAGGCTGATGTGCTAACTTGCTAATATGACATTTTGTTTTTATATTTGAGAGAGCACAGATCACATTCTAAAACCTCCATTTAGGCAAATGGATGCCATCCAATCACAAAT